GGCACCAGTATTTTAAACACCCAGAGGGTCACCTGTGGTAGACAGGATTCAGTGGAGCTTCCAGACTAAGACTAGGAAAAAGGATGTGGTGATCCCCTTCAGAAAAACTTGGCCACTGAAAACTTTACGAATAGCACTGAAATAATGTCTGATACAGTACTGGACTGGGTAGTGTTTCATTCTGTTATACATATGGTCACTATGAGTCTGAACTGACTTGATGGCACCTAACAACAACAAGAACAAAAACAAAAACATTAATCCTTAATCTGCTAATGTGGCAAATGGTTTTCATAAATTTTCTAATGTTTATTCTTGTATTTCTATCATATATATAGTTTTGTCATGATATATACTCTTTTTATACATTCCTGGATTCAATTTGCTTATTTATATTTTGTTTAGAATATTTTGCATCTATGTTTATGCAATTGATCTTTTTTTTTCCTCATACAATCTTTGCATTATTTTGATTTCAAAGTTTCACTCGTCTCATGAGTTCAAGTCTATTCTCTTTTTTCCTATTTACTGAAAGAATTTGTATATGATGGAAATGATCTGCTCCTGAAAGATTGGTATAACTCACCCATAAAATCATCTGAGCTAATGTCTTCTTTGTAGGAACATTTAAACAACTGATTCAGTTTCTTTAATGGTTACAAGATTATTTAGGTTTCCAATTACTTCTGAGTTAGCTTTTGTAACATAAGTATTTCTAGAAATTTGTCATTTTGCCTACATTTAAAAATTATTTATTAATATTATTCTCTTATTATCTGTTTCATCTATTCTGGATCAGTAGTTATTTTCTCTATTTTTATTCGTAAAAGCATTTGTGTGTTTTATCTATTTTTCCTTAATCTATCTCACCAGACATTTACTTTTTAAATAATTTTTTCAGATAATTAATCTTTGGTTTTGTTGATCCTCCCTACTATCTTTCTTTTTGGATTTGTTAACTCGTCTTTGGTTTGTCTTAATCTCTGAAAATTTAGGGAGAAGTTTTTTTCTAGAGAAGATTTGCATTTTTTATTGTTAGGATCCTCAGATGATACAAACAAGGGGCCACATTAGCCCCCTTCTAGGATGCCATTTTAATCTAAGAGTCCCAGATTTAGCTCGTCCCACCCTGTCAATGGCCCAAGTCTTGTCTCTCGTTGTTGTTGTTGTTGTTATTTGCCATTGAGTCGGCCCCGACTCATAGCAACCCCTCCTTGGGTTTCCAAGGCAGTATCACTACTGAAGTAGGATTGCCCAATGCTAATATAAACGTTTACCCCTGGGTTAATTCCATATTTTCTGAGTGCTAAATACTCTAGGCTCACCTTTTTTTTTGTTTTGCTTTGTTTCTGGTCCCTTGAAAATCTCCCCTATCTCCTGAAGATCAATGATGAAAAACAAATGAGTTTTAAGCAAGACCTCTGGTGGTGTAGTGCCTAAAGCATTTAACTGCAACCAGAAGGCTGGCAATTCAAACCCACCAGCCACTCCTCAGAAGAAAGGTTGGGCAATCTACTTCCATAGTAGAAGCAGAAACCCCTCTGAAACCCAAGGAGGGGTCTCTATGAGTTGGATCCAACTCCATGGCAGTGAGCTTGGTTGTTTGGTTTAGTTACTTCGAAGTAGGAAAACTCACTGCCTTTGAGTCGATTCAACTCATAGTGACCCCTCCTTGGGTTTCCAAGGTGGTATCTCTATGGAAGTAGATTGCCCAGTCTTTCTTCCAAGGAGTGGTAGCTTTGAACTGCCAGCCTTCTGGTTAGTAGTCAAATACTTAGGCACTATGCCACCAGAGTTCTCAAATACCTACTGTTAAGTATCTAGCAGAAACTCCACATAGCTTTTCACCCATTGCATCTGACTTTGCCCTCACTACCCCTACTGAAATTACTCATGCTAAGGTGATCAATGATCTCTTAATTGCCAAATTTCAAGCATGTTTTTCATTCTTTTTCTTTTTAATTCTTTTCCCAGATACTCTTTCTTGAAACTCTCTTCTTCCTTTGACTCTAAGACACTATTATCTCCTAGATCTCCCCCTACTCACTGGCTATACTTTTTAGCCTCTTTGGTGAGGTTCTTTTCTTTTCTTTTTTAAATTGTGATTTTGGTGAAGATTTACAGAGCAAATTCACTTTCCATACAGCAGCTCACATATATTTTATCTCATGCCATTGACCACAGTTTACCACAATGCAACAGCTCCCCTCCCACTTCCTCCCCACAGTTACCTCTTCCCTGTGTCCATCCCTCCATACACTCCTGCCCCCTGAGCTGTCTCCCTATGAAGAAGCAGCCTTTCTTTCTCTCATGATTGTTCTCTCCAGGGAGTGTATCTACTCGAGGTAAATG